GCAGAGTGTTCAGAATAAGATTAACTCTGATATAGGCGCTAAAAAATTAGAGTAAGTATACAGTACAGTACAGTAGAATAGAATATTCATTCATACAGTACACGTTATTCCTATTGCTTACTGTACACTCTGACCATAAAAGTCCCTACAGTATGCTACATTGCTACTAGCATATGTAGACTCATATGCATCAATATGTGACAGCGTCCACGAACTACAGTACTGTACACTGTACAGTACATTGCGCAATCATGAACTGCTAGAAATTTCTACTACCCGACGGACCATTGATCTGTGTGTATTCGTCATGTCCTTGAACCTGCTGGAACTTCTTCCGTTCGATGGTTCGATGCTTATACTCTACAGTGTACAGTACAGTACAGTACAGTACTGTACTGTACGCGACTGAGTCAATTGAACTATTGTACAGTACAGTATCAACTACTAGAAGAACCTGAACTGGACCAAACCTGAATTGGAATAGACACTGATCAGTGATCATCCGTCGACGGACAGACATTTCCGCCCTCATCTCGTCTCGTCATAACGTTGTGCTAAACACTTCGTTATGATCGAATTGTCATATGCTGATGGTCGATTTTGAATTGACTGATTTTTTTTTCTACGTTCAGTAATGTTCCATTGAATCCTATTATCTATGACTCAGTTCTGCTTCAAAACAGCTGTAGAAGATCGTCGATGTTATTTAAATTAGGACCAGTGATTGAGACACGGAAGATCCATGCCAAGTAGCCATTTTTGGATATTGACGGCAGGGACTACTGGAAAGAAGAGAAAGGGACGAGACACGGCCGAAGCCTGCAAAAAATGAGAAGGCCGACTTTTTGACCGGCATTGTAGAATACACTACGGCTGTAACCCTACACTGTACAGTACTGTACTGTACTGTACATTAAGCTGGCAGAGAACTTGCAGCACGGTCGTCTACTGTACAGTGTACACCACTGTGCGGTACTGTATAGCCCTTACCGATGGTGAGTACAGTTGAAATGACTAGCAGGAAAGTCGGGCCTGTAGGATATGATCATTGTTGACCACCTCATTGCTCAATGAGTGAGTCAATGCTCATTTGGTAAGCAAAGTCGATCTGTCCGTTTGTCTTGCTTCCCCTTTCGGCTTTCCTTCCTCTAAAATGGTCTTGTAGCAGTCCATGATTACAGCACTGTACTGTAGACGACAAAGCGGAACGTACTGTACTGCAGGCTAGTGTCATCTAGCTGCGTCGTTGAGTACTTCACTGTACGCATTACTCAACCATTTTTCCCCTCTGATAAACAAGAGATGGGATTGGAAATCAACTCACAGTACCAACAATGTCCAGGCTGGTGACTTGACAGTATTGATCGCTATATCCTCGGATTGGAAATACTGTTTCGTTCAGGAATTAACTGCGATTGCGACCTTACTTGCCTACTGTCGAAGAAATTTAGAGTTCATTCTTAGAGAGGAAAAATCATACAGTAGTCTCTGTCATTAAAAGGTTGCTTTGCCATCGGTAGTCCTCTACTACTGGTAAGAGTAGCGTTCGGAGATCTGGCACTGCAGTAGTCTACAGTGCCAGACTACCAGTGTACAGTACCAGACTACCAGTTTACAGTACCGGTGTACTGTACAGTACAGTACCAGAATACCAGTTTACAGTACCAGACTACCACTGTACAGTACAGTACCAGACTACCAGTGTACAGTACAAGACTACCAGTGTATAGGGTGTCTCATAAGTCTTTCCCACTGTTTGAAATCATATGAAATTATAGTTTCAAGTCCTTATTAGACAAATTTGGTATCATTTGTACACTGTACAGTAGCAGACTACCAGTTTACAGTACCGGTGTACAGTACCAGACTACCAGTGTACAGTAGCAGACTACCAGTTTACAGTACCGGTGTACAGTACTAGACTACCAATGTACAGTACCAACCCCTTCTTACTACTGTACTGTATCAACTCAATCAGCACCAATAGACGGTAGCAGTATGGACACTGGACAGGAGCATGAGTGTCCAAGTCAAAGCAAATTGGGGATACACGACTACCGCACTAGAGATAACCCACTGGTACATGAGTACAACAGCCAATGGACTGTAGCGTGATTGCAAGTGAGAATCAACCATCGATCGACCAATACCGGTAGGCAAGTTGCCATACTTGATGTACTAGTGGCGGCGGCTGTAACGGAAAGGCAAAAAAATGAAGAAGGATGTCAGAATATTGCTGGTAGGAGATGGTAAGTCGTTAGTTGAAGGGAAATTGCCATGGGATAATATCACTCAAAATATGGACAAGTTTTATTCCACCTGCTATTCGTCATTTGTTGTAGTCGATCTATACTTGAAGCTATTTTCATCAAGTGAATCGTCATACAATGATCGCCCTGGGTGTACAATGTACAGTACAGTATAGAGGGATAGAGGCTGTAGTGGGCACTGCTGCATGCCAAGAATTCACAGTGAATCAAGCATGGCTAAAATCACAAGCTTTGCCTTCAGTTAAGCGACTACGATTATCGGTAGAATCATGACAATTAGAATGCAATGGCAACACATAAAAGTAGCCTATGCTATGTAGAATGCTGTATAGAAGGTGACATGATAGTACGCAATGCACATGGTATGGACAAGTGGACATTGAATGGTAGAAAAGGATTGGCGTCTTCAATGCAAAAGTTGATATTCAAATGCAATCATGTTAGCGATTGACAATTAGCCAAGCATGAAGTTAACAATCACTGCTGCGTTGACACCAGGAAACTCGGATTCAACCTCTGACTTTAAAGCTTTTCCAATATACTGTACTGCAGCACAGTCCGTATTCAATACTCTCCTGCTTTGAAGATGGAGTATATCAATGGATTGATTGAAATACTCGTAGGTGATGATGATTCATGCAGAGACAATTCAAGGCCAAAAATAATTCTTTTTTTCCCTTGAATTGTCCCTGGTGTATGTAACAATACTTGTATGTTAATCCATGGTTAGTATGGGGCAATAGAATACAGATCTTGGAGTGCGTAAATCGGACTATTGTTAAGCAGACTAATTCCCAGTACTCTGTTAGGAAATCTATTGGTTTTTCACTTTGAAGATTTTCAATCCAATTGATGTAGTATCTATGACTTGGCATGGAAAGAGTCTAGACTGATCTTCCAAGCCGTGGGATAATCATAGTCATAGTCATTAATTAATAATAATTCAAGCTGTCATTCTTAGTCCTGAAACTCGTAAGAATGCAGCTGGTTGTTCAACTCAAAGCTATTTTATCTATGATTGAGCATGGAAGGGGATCTGCTTTGATCATCGATGCTTGGTGGTAAGTTTCGTTACCTGATCCAACCATCCAAGTCATCAACTACAGTACAACGCGTGGCGAATAGTATCCGTTATTATGTAGAGCACAATACTAACAATAGTTACTTCATCGCTTACGAATAATTACAATTGCTACAACTTATAACATAGAATGTACAGCTAGTAATCAATGTGACATTTATGACCCCGATGGCCTTTGAATGGCATCATCAGCTTGTTGCCTACTACTTCTGGCATCTGTATACTGCTTTCATCATCATTGAACAAGATATTGTTTGTAGCATTGAAACATCTACAGACTCTTTCGTAACATCATCAATACCGTAACGAAATGGATACTATCCAATTCATTTTATTATAGTATGACCAAGGGTCTATTGATAAATCAGTTTTGTTTGATAGCTATCATTAACTGTTCATATAAAATACAATTGCTATACCATATTGAAGATGTGAAACGATACTGATTGAAAATCCTGGGATACTCTAGGGGTGTTTTTTGGTTATGGAAAGAATAATGACTATGGTTACTATACTACTATGATGCTAACGTTCATGATTATGTACTGTCTGACTAAACTATCCACCATCTATCGCACATGTTAATACATTCATCGAGTAATATGATTTCTAGCGTTTTTCATCAATTGAAATAATATTTGTTACCACAACTTCTACATTACTTGTCCTTTAATATACTTAAGCATATATTCGATTTTATGCCATGACTTTTATCCACTTTGAATTCCTCAAAATGTCCATTGTAGTCATAGGATATAAATAACATTAAATATATTTTTCCTGTTTGTAGCTGGATCCGGTAAGACATCTTTAATATCTTCGCTCGTTACTGAAGAATTCCAAGATCAGGTGCAGTATGAAAGATAAATCATTAAAAAGGATAAATTGTAAAATACATACTGTACATCCAAGTGATTCTGACTGTTAAATGTAGTGTTATGCCGGTTATTACCATCTTAAGTAAAATATGAAGTGTCAATTTTATTACCTGTATTAGTTGAAATTTCTCTTATATGACTCAATTAGGCTATAACTACTTTTCAATAGAGAAAGAATCATGAAAGGCTGTAATATATTCAGCTATTCTGTTAATCAATTATAGTGCTATTGATACTACTAGATAGTGATGCTATGATAAAACGCTCTCATTTGTAATATTACACCTTGACTTGCTACCCTCAAACTGTTTTCCTAACAGGTTCCGGATCGAGCTGAAGAAATTACAATACCTGCGGATGTTACGCCTGAAAAAGTTCCAACTCACATTGCTGACTATTCAGGTATTATATAATTGAAGAGAGTTCGATTTATTACAGGCATTTCATGTCTCCTTCAGTTTTGATATAAGTTGTATGGCATGGATTTAAGTTTTAATAACCAGTAATAATACAGCATATTTATAAGGCTGTATTTTTGGATCATTAATGGTAAAATATCTTACTAACAGAAAAGGAGCAATCCGACGAGGATTTAACCCATTCATTGAAACGAGCCAATGTCGTATGTCTTGTATATGCCGTTAACAATGAAGAATCAATTGAGAGGGTTTGTTCGTTATCAACTAATTGCCTATGTTACGATCGTAACCTTAATGATGAATTATATATGTCTTTATTAACAGATAACATCGTATTGGCTGCCTTTTATTGAATCTGCAGTCGATCCAGATTCTAAATTACCCATTATCCTTGTTGGAAATAAGGTTTGCCATAATCGTATGATGATAGCAATCTTCAGCATAACCTTAAACATTATCAAATCATTTCCTTTGCAGAGTGACCTCGCCGAAGAAAGTAGCATGAGGGTGAGAAATTTACTGTATGCTTGAAATGTCGTATTTGTATACGATTTATAGCAATATAAAGTTGCCTCTGCTAACGGCCATTTATGAACTTCTATAGCGTATTTTACCAATTATGAATGAACACAAGATGATCGAAACCTGCATAGAGGTAGAAATACGTATGTAATAGTTTTGGTAAATTTTATAGCCATTGACCATATGCTATATTATTATGCCTAAAGTGTTCTGCTAAAGAATTGAAAAACATCACCGAATTGTTCTATTACGCTCAAAAAGCTGTATTGCATCCTACTGCGCCTCTTTATGCATCTCAACAAAAGCAGGTAAAGCTGCGCGTATACCTTGCATTATAAATACATTCAGTACGATGGGTAAGATTCTTATAGTCTATAAGAGTTCATGAAACCTTACTATTTTTCTTTGTAGTTGACAGAAAGCTGTAGGAAGGCACTAACGCGTGTATTCAAGGTAGCATTTGAAAACGATATGCAACATCATACAGTTATATCGGTTTATAGTTACCTTGATAGACTTTAAAACTTTTCTCCGTATTTAAGGTGTGCGATATGGATAACGATGGGGCGTTAAATGACGCAGAATTATTTGACTTCCAGGTAAACTAAAATATTGTCAATTATGCTTCAATTTTTGGCCAAAAGGAATCCGATGTAACGGTCTTCCATTTTACAGAAATATTTCTTCAGCACGCCCCTTCAGAATCAAGCCTTAAAGGATGTGAAGAATGTAGTTAAAAAAAGTAAAGGATCTGTAGGGGTAAATGATCATGGAATTACACTGGCAGGTACGAAGAAATAAGTGTAAGTGTACTAACAAGCTATTTGAGAGGTTAAAATCAATGTCTTTCATTTTATTACAGGATTCCTATTTTTACACACGTTGTTTATACAACGTGCAAGACACGAAACAACTTGGACCGTATTAAGGAAATTTGGGTATAACGATGATCTAGAATTTCGTGATGACTACATCTACCCAGAGTATGTTAACGCATGAAAGAAATAAATGTTAATAATCAACCTATTAATGTCTGCTTTGTATTCTTAATAAACTACCTGATTTACATTATAGTCTTAGAACAGGTCCAGACTGTGTTACGGAATTATCACAAATGGGATATCAATTCTTAACCCGATTATTTCACAAATACGATAAAGTTTGTAGTATATGATGCATCGCTTATTAATATAATTACTACCCTCACAACCAGATTTTGCGCTTAATTTAATTACATGATTATCTTTGCGGAATTGAAAAAGATGTAACTTATTCTATACATATTCTGTTATAGGACTTAGATGGAGCACTATCTCCAGATGAATTACGCGTAAGTTTAAACGTTAATTATTATTTTTGTATATATTCGTTTTCAATACCTTCATTGATTTATACTTCTTTCAGGATCTATTCAGTACCTGTCCTCGAATTCCGTGGGAAAAAGATATCATATATATGATTACAGTAAATAGTAACGGTTGGATTACTCTCGCCGGATTCCTAGCGTGGTGGTCGTAAGTCTTTTAAATATTCCTAATCTTTTACTATTACAGTTTCTTAAAAGAAGCGTTTTTTTTGTATTTAAGGTTGACTACCTATCGAAACGTGTCCTGTACATTAGAATATTTAGCTTACTTAGGTTATATAATGGGAGATAACGTCAATCAGCTTAGTGCTATTTCAGGTATGTTTGTAGCAGCTCAATTTTGAAATGCAATCGCAAGGCATTTATATTAGCGATTGCGAGTTTGTTATAATCACTTTCACCGTTGTTATTGCAGTCACTCGTAATAAGGCGAATGAACCCAACAGGAAACAACTATTAAGGAATATCTTAGTTTGCGATGTCGTAGGTGCTCCCGGCGTTGGCAAGGTAATTGACTGTCTTGATTTACTTTTGTTCTTTGAATACTGTAGTTAGTGCAAATCATTTAAATTATTAACATAGTCATGATTATTTTTCTTGTTATGTCTATTGAAAAGACATGCTTTCTACAAAGGCTGATTTGTAAGGTAATTTACTTAAGTATGCTGAAATGAGTAAAGATTTTCTTCAATGTTTGCCATTATCGTAATTTCCTTTGATCCAACCTGTTTGTTAGGATGGAAGTATTGCTGGAAGAAAATCAGAATACACAATTAATACCGTAGAGATTTATGGTCAGGAGCGTTATCTGGCGGTAAGGAAGCTTGAGATAGTATTTTACCAAAAACCATCAAAATATGTTATCTTACTTATTAGTTATCACAACTTTAATTGTCGATTCTAAAATTACTCAGTTACATGAAGTAAATGCCAATGATCCAAAAACCGCCAGCGATCTTGTAATGTTATCAAATGCTGACGCTGTATGTTTGGTGTACTCCAATTCAGACAAGAATTCATTTCAGTACATTGCAAAGGTCCATAAAGTAAGTGATGGGTAATCTATTTTAGTTACGTACTTATAATGACCGATTAATCATTCAGAGATTAATTCTGAAAGTATTTATCTCTCAATTAGGTTGGTCATTGATAGCGATATTTTTACACTGATTAAAAACTAATTACTTTTTGACATTCATTTATTGATCGTTTAAATTAAAGATATTGCAATCGAAAGTTACAAAACCGGTTATGATCATTGCTACCAAAAGCGATACACCCGCCGTAACACAAGTAAGCTGAATGGCGTTCACTATAACCTTTACCAAATTATTGTCTTTACACTTACACATGTAACGAAATACCAAGGGACCGCCATTTCACTTTCTATCTGTGTATTGCACTATTTATCATCAAGTAGTACCGCACGATGATTAGACGTTGATTGGCGTCTTAGGGCTAGACTACCAGTTCATATGAACTAAAATTAGGCAATTTTATTACAGAATTTTGATATGCAACCTTCTCAATATTGCTACAGCGAAAATCTTGGAAAACCACAGGTTCAGTAGTATTATTGATTTGTAGTTGTAGTTTAATGCTACTGTTATATAATTTTTAGTATTATTTCTTGGAATTGGACTTTAAAATCTCACTAATTTGGTATCAATTTACTTTATGTTTATAGTCCTTCTCCGCTACTGGTCGTAGGAACGCTAAAGTTTACAAGACATTGGCCACCGCTGCCGCATTCCCGTAAGTTACACTATACTGACCTAATCTGATGCAGTAGTTAAAATACGATGCGAGTAATGGTTTATAACTCAATGCGTGGTGTGCTATACAGTGTAGTACTTCTTAGATTTTAGTACTAAAATTGAGATGGTAACCTTGCTAAAACTCATTAACCAACGTTGTCAAATTTTCAACTCAGGCATTTACAAGGAAATACTGACGGCATTATGAAATCTCCAACGTTTCGTGTTGGAATGTCTGTAACACTTGCTGTTGCAGTAGGATTGTTAGCATATTTTACTTTCAAAAGATATTCCAAATCTTAATGCTTATAATATTATGCGAAATTGTCCTTGCATGAACATCCATGCGACGCGAATAATATATTTTAAGCTAACTGTATTAATGTAGCATCGAAATGTGATATAGATAGCTGTTAATGGTATCGGTATTTTGAAGTTTAGCGATGCAAGATCGTTAAATGCGAATCGTAGTACGGCGACATCTACTGACTTTCTAAAATTGGAATGAAATCACCTATTGTATTGCACTGTTCTAGTTTTGAGAATATTTTAATATTACAATTCTTACGAAAGCTAAGATAGATACATGATGGTAACTGCATCAGTATCTTCGAAAGGTTTATCTTTAGTATTTACTATCATTAAGCATATCATTTACTGGCTTAGGCTGTAGTCTGTATCTACCTGCGGTATATACACTTGTCTTTTTAGAAATATAATGTAGCAGTCCTGTTCATTTTGTACAAAGATTTGAAGTCACTGCCAAGCGCTTTGCTGCATTAAGGGATGCTATGATTAAAATAAAAAGTCATAACTATAACCGTTACGCTTTATATTTGCGTCAGTGATATATTGTTCGCCGCCAGAGGAAAAATATTTCGCACGGAAACAAGTATCACAGAGTATCTTTAAGCTCGAAGTCAAGCAAAATGAAACAGAAAGGTATCTTTCGAAGCAATTTTATTCTACATAAACACCAATATACAATTTACTAATAGAAAAATCCAAGAATTTTTCCACCAGTATGTTTACGCCTGGCCTCTTCGTGATCCATAATACCAGCTGATGTTGTTACCACTATAAATCTGTAATAGTTGGTTGAAAGTGCAGAAAGTTTAATAACAATATTCATCAATCCTTTGCAGGTTCACAATTTCCTCCATATACAGTACTGTACATTATGGCTACAATGTCCTAGCTATTGATAGTTGATGTACTAGTGTTGGCGTACTGCACTTTATAACTAATGCTACTGTCCATTTCCTTAAAGCGCGTAAACCAATGCTGACTGCATGCACCAGCGACTAGGACATTTAATGGATAAAACTGCAAACACGCGTATAGTTGGTACTCACCCAAATAAACGTGATGGCAATAAATTGTTAACCCATTTTTCATACTCTCGCTGAGCGATATCGAATCGAGGACTTACTACACCACACTATATAATAACAACGCAAGAATGATGAATTTCTCATAGGTGTTAGAAGGTTATAATTAGAGATGATCTAGAGAGCCATATCGAGTACCATTAACGCCAATTTACAAGTTCATCATAACTTGCATAGTATTTAATAAATCAAAAATCGTATGGCGTAGGTACAACACGTTTTCATCATCGAGTGCTGTATTACTGAGTAAGAACATATATAATACAAACTCACCTTATTCAATCTGCCGTTAAGATTTACAACAATTTTGCCACCTCTATGATCGTCGATAATTTCAAATTCCCCGATATAACCTATACAGTATGCGATCAAGCAGTCGTACGTTAGCGAATTCAAAGCAATTAGCCCTATTACTCCGTAGCATTTCATTTCGGTCTGGTGTAGAATAGAATGCATATCAACTCAAATGGTAGGGATTATTACGGATATGCCATTCTACCGGTACACCGTACAACATAGTACAAGCAAGGATACTGAACGGCAACAGTATGCTCTAATACGTTATTGTTAGACTTCAGTACTAGATGATATTTTAAAGTGTACCATGATATGCATATTAATACAGGCAATTTTGTACGAGTAAGAAATTCTCAATCACTATAGCCCTCATTACTGAAAAGGCCACATTCAAGCAGTCATCAAGATGAAAAAGACGTTCCGTGGATACTGGATAGCATTACTAATAAGGGAATGCTTTTGAAGTGGGGGTCAACTGGAACTTACCGTGCTTCATCATAACGGACAAGAACTTGACGATAACCTTTGAAGAAGGCCTAATCAAGACTTGGCGTTTGCCACGTTTTTCAGCATTGTAAATTGTTTTTAGAGCATCTGCCAAAGCGTCGATCTTAACCATTTTGATCTACAAGGGTAATCAAGCGAGCAATTAGCTTCCAAACGAGAAGAGCATAGAATAATCAAGTCAGCCATCTTTACCACGCGTATTGTAAAATTAAAAATATCACTATTTTACGATCAATTCTAGTCGAAAACTACAAAATAACTACATCAAGGGTAAGTACTGAACAAAATGTAGCCTAAAAATTAACATTAACACAGAATTGGTCAAGGATGTTGGAGATTAAAGCTTTATGGTTAAGGTCTCTTACCTCCTGTACATGGATGCTAGGAAAAAGAGAAAGATGATAGAAAACCACAAGGTTTTTCTTCCCTGTGGCAGACTCTTATGCGACTGCGCGATTTCAGCGGCAACATGTAAGCGACTTGGTGGTAGATCATGTGGCGCTGAGCAGCATACTAAGTAGTGTGTCACAAGGACTGTTTGGTAAGGTTGGTTTTCTTATTATACGTTTCGGACCATATGACCATTGACCAGTACAGTACGCTATACTGTACTCAGTGTACTGTACACTGTACACTGTACACTGTACAGGGCGCTACTCGCATAGCAGGGTTTATGCAAGATGATAGCGCAAGCGCCCACTGCTAAACCAACTGTAGACTAAGATAGATTTTAGTAGCCTTTGAGTACATGACACTAGTAAAAGAGATTATGGCTATTTGGAAAGGGAAATGGGATTGATTGCAGTCAAATAGAATTGATCCTATAGAGGCAAAATTTTTATGTTACGGCTTTTGAGTGAGAATTTGGGGTTGAGTAAGTCCCTGACTGTGTACACAGTACAGTACTCGACACACAGTGTACAGTACAGTATACTGTACACTGTGTACTGTACTCTCAGGGAGTGACAACTGACTTGTAAAGGGTGTACGGGTGTACAGTACAGTACGTACACTACTGTAACACGGACACACGGTACAGTACTGTCTGTACTCACAACGAACAATCGTAATTAATCGATTCAATTAAGTTAATTAATTAATTAATCGATTAACTTAAATAAATTAAATCGTATTGATACTACAGTACAGTTTTGTACAGTACACTCAAATAGCGTACTGTGTACTGTACACTCCAAACTGTGCTATCTACCGTTTCAGTCCTAGACATTCTCTTTTACCGCGTATTCAGCGCAGTGAAGGACAGTTACAGTATAGATATACTGTACGTACCTCTGAACATGACTGATAGGATATGGGATGATACCGTACAGTATGGCGTCGTCCATGACAGTAGCACTGTACAGTGTACAGTACAGTGTACAGTAGTGTACAGTACACTGTACATTGTACACTCCAAACTGTGCTATCTACCGTTTTAGTCCGAGACATTTTCTTTCTTTTACCGCGTATTCAGCGCAGAAACGGACAGTTACAGTATAGATATATTGGATGTACTCTGAACATGTCTGATAGGATATCGGATGATACTGTACAGTATGGTGTCGTCCATACCAGTAGCACTGTACAGTACAATGTACAGTAAAGTAGGGTACATTGTACTGTACACTCCAAACTGTGCTATCTATCGTTACAGTACAATGTACTGTACAGTGTACACTCCAAACCGTGCTATCTACCGTTGCAGTCCGAGACATTTTCTTTTACCGCGTATTCAGCGCAGAAAAGGACAGTTACAGTATAGATATACTGGATGTACTCTGAACATGTCTGATAGGATATCGGATGATACTGTATGGTGTCGTCCACGACAGTAGTACTGTACTGTACTCTTTGAATAATCGCATGAAATTTGAGGTACAGACTCTTAAAATAATGCATCATCGTTTAAGCTATTTACGCTGAGTATCTTGAGTAATCGGGTTATTATGGCTGGGCTTACTGTACTGTACTGTACAGTACAGTGTACAGTGTACAGTACAATGTACAATGCACTGTAAGTCGGTTGGGATCTTGGAATCGGTATGAAAGCTGCAAAAAAAGGACTGCAAGCCAATGTTCGACTGACCGCTAATGGTGATGACGCACAAGCACCAATGAATTACAGCAGCAGAAGATTTTCTCCTACACCTCCTGACAAAGGAAGTTTCCCTTTAGATCACGATGGTATGCAAGAATGTTGCACATTAACTGTACTTTGACCAATGTATGTGTATTCAATTCCAAACTGAAGCCTTTCAATCACTGTACTATATCATTGGCTGACTTCTGCATGGATAAAAAGGAAGAAAATGAAATTTTCATGCCACTGCTGAACTGATACAGCGTGCTGAAGATACATGCCTGCATGACATGGATCATTGATTATTTTTTGTATTCATTTCTAACCATCAGTCAAAAACAATCTAGTCTGCAATCTGCAATAATTCACCGGTGGTCTAACAATTATCATCAGCCAATATGGGTGGCAGATAATGCGATGTAGTACGAGTATCGGTAACGTGTTGTGCAATGTTTGCATGTATGTATAATTGTACTATATATGCACTAGGCAGAAAATTAATTACCAACACATTCTTGTACATTGTTATACCACCGTGGAGTATGTAGCACATAGAGGGTCTCTAGTGTAGCATGGCTACACCAGCTTAAGTAAACTAAATAGCAGTAATGGAGTTAGCATGCATAGCAATGGTGTGATCAAGCTTGATAGCAATCGAGCGCAGTCAGCCAAGAGGATGGATTGATATAGAACCTTATACTACTTGCAAATGGATATTATGAAAGCAGATGTTATAATCGTTCATTTTATTTTATCCTCAGCCAAGTATAAGACGCATACATGCGATGATGTAAACTGATTATGATAACATAATGATATCCATTCACTCTTGATCGATCTTATTTAATCCCTATCTTATACAGATAATAAGGATCATTTAAATTACTAAGTTGAAGCCTTGACATCAAATTAGGTGAATGTAAGACTTTTATGAAGACCTACATGCAATGCTTAGAAAAGAGTAACTATGAGCAAAGCGATTGCCGTAAGGAAGCTAAAGAATATTTGCAATGTAGAATGGATAGGTAAGATCAATTCAATCACTAATGCTGCATACAATTTCTTAGTAAAATAATGCACCTTGATCATGTTACACTGGCAATAGCCTGGGAAGTTCATAATGTTGTGTGTCAAATTATCTCTTGTCTAACGGTGATGCATATACTTTATTATATATCGGTTATGAAGGCAATTAATGGCTAAGGAAGACTTTAAGAATCTTGGATTTAAAGATGAAACTAAGAATCAAACTTAGATACCACGTCTGTAATTGCACCGTCTACTGAATATGCCTTTAGACGAAAATCTGAAGAATTGGTGTATACGCACATATGAAGAAATAGTTGGCGAAGAATATAATTCTTTTAATCCTATTCAAGTATACAATTCGGTCATTTGAAGTATCAGTGTAATGTTTTTGAAAGCAGAGAGATTACAATGCAACGGCGGCCGTTATCCTGCAATGATACTTTCCATCATTCTTTCTTTATAAAGCCCTCCATCAATTGGATCGTTAGTAGAGAACTACACGTATATCATTTAGAATACTATCATTACGGAAGTAATCAGCTCGAATATTGTAGACCTTGCTCAACTCAAATTAAGTATAAATAACTGCCTGATTAAATGAGCTATCTCTTACGAAAATATTGTAAGCATGCTGTAAATAAAACTATTATAATTATTATTCAATAAAATAATCATTTTTTAAAATTGATTCCAAGAATATACTTCTAAGAAAGTTATTGGTTTCTAGCTTCGAAGTTTGGATGTTGATTGTTTATAGTAATAAAATGGTCACGTACTAAAAGTAATTCATTAATGATTGATGATCACAATACTTTGTTGAGTAAGCACGTCTTTTACAAATTACAAATTATTGGCGATAGGTTAGCTTTGGAGTAGTCGTCATCAGCAGTATTGACATTTCATCAATTAGCCCATCATAGCATTATCGGGCATTACTAGAACTGCTATTAGTAAATTACTAAAGACAGTTACTAAGCTGAAGCATCAAAAGTCAATTTAGAGAAAATCAATAATCACAATTTAATAAATTAAAAATAGGATAGTGACTAATTTATTATTCATTTCCTTAAAATATAAAACAATTCTTCCATTGTACAGCGAATATGTAATTTAAAGATGTATCGCAAGTTGGCCATTGAGAACAACACAAATATATCGTACATTAACTTCTTTTCTGTTCGAGAATACTTGCAACAAGCGCAATATTCTAAAGTTGTAGGACAAAGTAGATAACTGATTGTGTGACTCATATTCAAACGAGAATATAATTGAAAATTCAACAGATATAATTATATCCATCTATAGAAATCTCCATGCCTTCCTAGCTAAGGCGTTACTTCTAGCTATAATTATGCACTACAATCGGATGCTCTGCTAAAAAGTGCAAATTTTAATGATGTAATATTCCTAAATTATAGAAAATTATACTGGAAGTATACCTATTAACTTGATTCTTATAGCTACGGCTATTTTAGACGAAGCTGCTATCATGTTGATTTATTACTTGGTATTTGCTAACTCTTAATTGTTTAAAAATCAAATACTTCTTTGTCATAGAAGGTCAGAGCTTGTAATAGGCAATCGCTCAGGTCATCCTTTTTTGTAATGCTTGTAAATTCAGAAATTTGTTGATTTGTAAATGTAACGTTATGACATTTTGACTTTCCATTCATTAACTCAAGAACCTTATTTATAGCATCAGTCTTCTTTTGGGGACCTTTTGATAAATTAAAATAGGATTGGACAGTCTTAGCATTCATTGATACAACCTTGTTAGGCTGCAATACACAATAAAGGAACGCTTCCAATATTCTGAGAGGTATCCCAGTATTAAAGGAAGCGCCGTGATGGGGAATCGCACTTGCTTGTTCGATTACATAAACATCAGCAGCAGGCAGGGTCCGACGAATACCGATTACATTTTCGTAAGTAGTTTGCAAGCTATTGCTAGTCATTGTTGGGAAGCATAATTTACGCCAATCTAGCAGAGTTAATTCTCTATTTATATGGACATAAGCAAAATTTTTAAATCCTAGATCGATAGAAACAATGCTTTGTATACTTTTACGCAAATCTTGATCAATTAATGGTGGGTACCTTCGAATCGATAAATGATTTTCGCTTTTGAGTAATCTATCAATTAATTTTGATGAAAATCCTCTCAGTTGTTGAAGTTGATCTAAGCTACTAAATGAACCATTGGATTTTCTATAATCAATAATAAGGTTTGCTTTTAGCTGGCCGATTCCCTTCATGTTTAGCAATTGTTGCTTGTTAAACATATTGAAACGTTCTAGCAATTCATTGTGACTTAAATCGCTACTGCTAAATCGAAGTGAATGAAATGGCATGCAATAAGGCGAACGACTAATGCCAACGGTATTCTTCCAAGTTGCCGGTCTACGTTGAAAGTATCCAAGTGTTGTTTTCATAATTTCATTTGCAAAACTCTTTGGAGCCATATCGCAACTTGGCCAACTATAGTAAAGGCGTCTATCGTCCGTCAATGTTGATAATCTTTTTAGAGAAGCAAGATTTCCCAGGTTATTATAAACCAATTCTATTGCAAGTTGTATCGACTATCGACTACGGTATTCCATTGCTATTGAATCCATTACGCAATCATTAAACAATAACTTGTCATTCCAGTATGTCGACCAATCTTTAGACAAAATAATAAATACTGTATACTGTCTATATTATACTGTATGCGTCGTGATACGCGTACAGTTGATAATTCTTTTCCCTTAGTCAATCGTTTAGATAAAAGTGCAAAGTTATCTTGCAAAGGAATACTCAATTGCAAATCAATGCTTCTAGTAATGTTACGTATATCTAGTATTTCGTCAAAATCAGCTCAGATTGCTGGAGCTAGTCAATTTCTGGAGGAGGCAGTATTTTACCAGTGTTAAGGCGATCGAAAGCATCAATCTTGAAGTAGCTGCACTATTGATGTTGCCAATTTATCACTGCAACTCGATTCATTAAGCTTATTCTTGCATTCTGCATCGCTCTGCAACCTACCGCTCGCTCAGCTATGAACAGCAACTGCTGGTCCAACTTGCACAAGAAATGATGTCACCCATGGCGATGATTTGGTACTTAAGGGTTCTAAACCAACAGTGACATCATTTTTGCTAGCGATGTAGTCTAATTGTATCAGCGATGACCTAATGAATGAATAGTAATCTACTTTCCATTATGAAACAAATCGATAAAAATGATGTCGCGCCCAGCGGCTTGCCTAACCTATGAAATCATGGTCACGGGTGACATTATTTTCTCACACAGGCTTTACTATATCGTAGACTACAATACACGTGCAAAGTACCAGCAGAAACTACAGTACTAACTAAAAGGGGAAGAGAGGTGACAGCAATCACACAGTACAGTACTGTAGTCTACTGTACTGTGTGTACGGTACTATTCTGTAGTGGTCAGTACAGTCATGAACTGCTACAGTACAGTACACTGTACACTGTACAAAAGACCGTAATGCTGTATTCATACCGTACCGTGCCGTACTGTTGTGTTCTGAGAAATCGCTATAGTTGAGCACAAGTTGAGCCCGAGCAAAATTTTGCATGTTAATTAATTAAAATATGGCAGTACTGTTCTGAAATAATCATACTGTACATCACACTGAAAGAAAATAAGGGGACTGCCAGCAGCTCATGACCTAAAACGTAGCTGTAGCTGTAACTACATTATTCTGCTTCATCAGTTATACTAAAGTACTGCCTAATATTTCATATTAATTATTAATGCAGGTACTAAATTTTGCATGTTACAGTTATGAGTGTATGACAGGACTGCAATAATCATACTGCACACTGAAAGAAAATAAGAGACTGCCAGCAGCTTATGACCTAAAACGTAGCTGTAGCTGTAACTACATTATTCTGCTTCATCAGTTATACTAAAGTACTACCTAATATTTCACATTAATTAATGCATGTACTAAATTTTTGCATGTTACAGTATGAGTGTATGACAGGACTGCAATAATCATACTGCACACTGAAAGAAAATAAGAGACTGCCAGTAGCTCATGACCTAAAACGTAGCTGTAGCTGTAACTACAGTATTCTGCTTGATCAATTATACTAAAGTACTGCCTACTATTTCACATTAATTAATGCATGTACTAAATTTTGCATGTTACAGTATGAGTGTATGACAGGACTGCAATAATCATACTGCACACTGAAAGAAAATAAGAGACTGCTAGCAGCTCATGACCTAAAATGTAACTGGAACTATTTTGGCTTATCAATTCAGCTATTCGTATAGTTTTATACTACAGTACTGCATAATATTTCATATTAATGCATGTTATATACTAAATTTTGCATGTTACAGTATGACAATACTGCAATAATCATACAGCACACTGAAAGAAAATAAGAGATTCCCAGCAACTCATGACCTAAAACGTAAAACGTAGCTGGAACTAACCTATAGTTTTATACTACAGTACTGCATAATGTCTCATATTAATGCATGTACTAAATTTTATGTTATAGTGTGACATTACTGTAATCATCATACAGCATACTGAGAAAATAAGGGTTTGCCTGCAATTATAACCTAAAACGTAGCTGTAACTGGTAGGCTTCAAAGTAAGATTACAGTAACAAGAGGTATATACAGTAAAGTAATAATATATGCTTATAATAATAACTATTCATGCTCAAACAATAATTTAGTTATTTTTATTTTAAAGCAAATATGTCTATATATGCATCCGTTATGTCCTAAAAATATGATATTTTACACAGTATATAAAATTTTTGCTATATATTGAAATAAACATGGTTATTTTTTTGCATTTGAGGAGATTAAATTTGTGCTTATGTTGGACAGATACTACCGGCTGTAATATGAGTATATCACAGAATTGAAATTAAGTATTCAACTGCTCTTTCATTTGATCCGGTAAAAGCGATATTAGCGATATTTTCACCTAGAAGATTGAAATATTAAGAAAAGAAATGCTGAGTATAAAATTAGCTTTTTAATCCAGTTGATCATATAGGCTAAAAACGCTTTTGTACTAAGGGGAAGGTTAATAATCATCTGCAGATGTTCTAGAACCCTCATATTATATAAGAACTCTTCACCGACTCTAATGTAAGTAATAGCTTTAGTACAGCCAAATTTGATAGTGTAAGATTTCTTAAACTTGCAGCTAATTAAGAACGCTATTTGCTTTCAAGGTATTTGAAAATTGCTACTTAAACAGTAGATCACTACGGTAGTACCTGATTGATTGATGGTCGTTTCGCATTATCTTGACGTAGGCAATGATTGCTAATTCTGAGAATCTTCTTCGGTGTATTTCTTGGCCAAAATATCTTGTGATCTTGTGAAAGTTTACTATTTGCATTTTTACAGTGACTGTAATAATCTCTCTGTAATAGGTCAAGATAAATTATCCAGTTTTTAAAAGAACTTGATCATCTCTAAAACTAATCAGTGGTAACCATTTACAAGTAATGCCATCAATACTGCAGATTAACATTACAGAGAATCATACTCATCGTTATTAGTGATACAATTGAAATCGTCAAAGGCTATACATAGGACATGTGGCTTTCATATTCAACCACTAAAATATTGTAATGGCATTATCATGTTTAAATTTGTATAAATACGACACATTTGATCCTTCAATACTTACCAAGAAGTGAAAATCAGGTAATGGTCTTAAACTAGGCAATCCAGAAACAATTTCTAATAGAATCTTATTGAAAAAAATGTCAAGTAATAATGTCATAACTGAACTGTAATAAGCTACATAAATGTCTACGGATGCTAAGATAATATCATCTTTATGCTACTGCAATAACATCAAAGCTTAAGGCTGAAATAGCTTTTTCACCCTAATGCTTACTTGAGCTATTATATGCGCATAATTAATTAACTTACCACCCCAAAACTATAGACATCATATTGGGGATTCATTTTAGCTAAGTTAACTTCTGGTGGCCGATATGCCAGCCATCGATGTAGTGCCGCCGTAGATATGGGATCACAATTATTATTGGCTAATATTTCTGCTAAGCCAAAATCACTGACTTTAGCATTGAACCTTGCATCAATTAAGATATTGCTACTTTTTAAATTTCGATGAATTAATGGTTTATCATAGAATTCGTGTAAAAATTGGATTCCTTTCGCTGCTCCAACGGCTATTTTCAACCTTAAATCGTAAGTTAGAGGCATGAAACCACCCTAAAATTGCCTCACATAAAAATAAACATAACGAAATCCACCTTCAACAATGGAACAAATTTAATTTTAAGGTTCTATTGCCAGCTAGATGATTTATAAACGTGGAGGAAATTGATTCCATTTTGCTAGACACACGATACGCTTGCTTAATGACTATCTAATCTAATCTAATAAGTATCACAATAAATCTAGATCGACCACTGTCCTTTAGCTGCCAATAAATAATTCACACAAAAGTTATGGAAAGTTTGCATATTCCAGCACTTTAACAGTTAATAAGTGATATGACCTTAGTCTAACATACCCCGCCAGCTAGCCGATCTTGTAAACTTCCCAAAACAGCATACTCGATAATCAAACATAATCTGCCGTCTAAATTTACTACATCGAATAACTGGAGAAGATTTTCATGTTGGTATCTAGACCAAGTTTAAAAATGATTAGAAATAAGGTCAACCGTTTTGTTAATTTAGGTCAACATGCAACGGTATAGTCTTTAATATTTACATAAATTTCTACATTTTTACCGTGATAATGCAGTAATATCTGCTATTTTTGGCTGCTCAATCTAATGTTCATACGTTTTTGTAAAATAGTTAGTAAATAATTATTGTAAATATGGTATCACATTGAAAAATATTATTCAAGTTGCAACCGAAGAAGGAATTAAGCATTTGAAATAAAAACTAGTCATTACAAACGGATAAACCTCACTGACTGGACGATGTAGCCTCTTCATCGCAACTTCTCCAAATTTTAATACATAAGCTTTATATACTTCCCCAAACCCCCCAGAACCGATAACGCGAGATTGATGAAAATTTTGAGTAGCTTCAACAACAACCTAAACCAAAATAGAGCCACTGATAAAATTACCACTTTAAAATCATCTTAACGTTGGCGAATATTTAAGATACCAGGTAAGATACGATAAACACTACATTTAATGAAACTAAGCAATACATTTCAGCGTTCCAGAGTACAGTATATTATAATGTTCGCACAGATTGGAGTTGCAAATATTGCTAAAGATGAATAAGTTAGTATCTCCTAAGAAGATAATTTTTGAGATTCACTGAATATACCTGTTGAATTCTAAGCCTTTTATTGATCAATCTGAATACTAAGTAGCTATTTAAATTCTAGGCATTTTATATGTTCCCTTATTATTTGCATTATGCATTTACTTTATGGAATACAACTTGAAGAAAAGTAGAATACTAAAGAGATTTCTGAGCAACTTGAGTGCGATAAATTTTAAAGTATGCCAGCATTTAGCTGACAGATCACCCCGACAAATTTAATATGCTTATGTCAATAAGATGCAGTGCTAAAGACCAGGTATAAAACACCATAGATAAAGTGTTACTCGATTTTGAAACATTTTCAATTGATTAGATGAGAGGCTATCGAATGGGTAATAGGTAGCTATGTTACAACCTTAAAACTAATATTAATCATTTGCTATTAAGTTGCATCAGGAAGTAGTGTTATGAGGGAATTCAATAGTTTAAAATTAAAATATAATTGCCCAAGTCTTCCATACTCAGTTTAAGTCTAACTTATTATCAGCTCTTCGCATTTGCAATATCAATTAGTAATATATGAAGTTACTTTTATAAGCTTTCTCATCACAATAACATTAAATAAAATGTAGATAATTAAAGCAGTATTAAGTAAAGACGTACTACATTGAAACCTAGCATGACAATGTACAATTTCTGCAGCGATTTACCTGAGACTGTGATAAATCCTGATTCTTAAAATTATATAGCCTAGTCGTCTTAGTGAGAGAATTAAAAATAAGGTATATGTTACGCCTATGAAATTGATTGTGTTCTTTTTATAATTCCTATATGGTTTTATGATATCAGACAGTAACTTTAGTTCGACTAAATTGTCAGACTAGGCACTATTTGATTCATATGAAGTACTCGTAACTTTTTACGCCCTAAGAAAAATGAATCAATTAATAAGCTTTTCTAACCTCGTCAACGGAATCCTTCACAGTAATGATGGAGAAGAAGGGAGTCCGAAATGATAATATAAAAACTATAGTTAAATGTGATTTATAAAAATTTATCGGTTAAACAATATGTTTATAAGTATTACCGTAGCTTCAGAGCACTGGCAATTTCCCATGATGGTTTAGATTTCGTAATGTGTAAAAATCTTGTACAGAGAGCATTGGCTAAACCAAAGCAAAATTTTTGAAACACTAAATAATAATCAAAACCTTATAGAAAATCTCTATCAATAGTCTATTCGTTACCCAAAAGCCATAAATCACCTTTAAAGATGTGAGACAGCAACATAAACTCTGCATTTATTGACCAGACATAGTCACGAGTTCAAAGGTATAAATAAAATTGTTATAAAAATAAATAAAGTAACCATTTATATTCGTGTTTTTTAGTAACCATATTATGCTTAGAGTAAAGTTTGTAATCTTGTAAAATGGTAAATCATTTTTGGGTTAATAGAATTTCTCGCTGATATTAAGTAAGAGAGTTCAAACTATCTCTATCATATACAATCAGAGCTTCAGCTTAATTTATTGGTAACGATTTCCGATTATCGCGGGCAGAGATAAATTGTATAAAATATTGAATATCTCTATTCAGGATCATTCCATAAAACTGATTAAACCCGCTCTGGTGATACTTTACGTACTGCAACGTACATTTTACTCTACAATTATTGGATTGAATATACAATCAGTATACCCTGAATAAAGCGTAACCACCATTAAACTAGTGCACGCTGTCTAGTTAGATATCAACTTCTATTAGCCAAATTAGAACAATAAATATTTTAATAGGGTAAAATTCCGGATTCATAGATCCGAATGTTTAGTTGATTAGCAGTAGCACGACTAAATTTTGTTTAGTAATCAAGTTATTATGTCCATTGCAATAGATAAATAGTCCCAAATGAATGAAACGAGCTATATCTAAATGAGATTTAATGAAGCCTATAAAATTAAAGCAAAGACATTTTGGGAGAGTGATAACTTTTTACAAGCAGTTTACATGTGATTTAATTTGCCTGATTTCACTTGTTGAACCAAATTGATTCTATGGTAAATATCTAGTGTATTTTGCTATCCTCTTTAGTGCAGCACTACGTTGTATGAATTTTATGATCATACGATACAAATACCAATCTTGTACTCAATGTCATTATAAAGGCATAAAAAGAACCTTTAGCGATCTATATCCAATAGCTACAATAGTGTCTCATTCTAACCAGAGATGCCAGAATAAAATGGCCTAATAAGCGTACATACAGTATTTCTTAAATTTGCTAATTACTGAACAGAATAAGAAGAAAACTGCCTTAGACCTACGTTCTGTAAGTATCACGCTACAACATGAACTTATGTAAATAATAGTTCGAGATAACTCTTTTAAGCTATTGCCAGTGTGCTACAGTCCAGTAACTATCGTATTATTAAATGCAACTTATACACATATAGTATAAGCTCATGGCGCCCTACTTTTAACTTACTAAAACACATGCATATATGTGATAATGCAAGAATATTTGCAGTAATACTATTTACGTCATTGTCATTTTATAATTTATCTGATCGCAAAAAATACGATTATGTATTTCTTTTAGCTTTTTGGGGGATACAGGAGCCAATACTATTTCCAAATATTCTCGTTATCAGAATACTAGCCCAAGGCAATTACGTAGTCCATAACATTTTGACTACTAAAAACAGACCAACGAATTTGTAACTCGTCACTGAATGAGCCAAATAAGGACTTAACCACTCAAATTATTAAGCAATTTTTGCCAGACATTCAAAATAAAGTTAACGATACCTTAATATAGGTGGAAATGTGATTGTGAGAAAGAAAGGAAAATTGTTCGTTGTTTACGATATGAATATTTTTAGCCTAGTGTATTTCAGTCCAACTTAATAGGATAGCTTTAAGAGCGCAGTATTAAAACGATTGAGATTGATGTTCATTCTCAAAATCAATTTTCACACCAGGAGTGACAGTTTGTCAGACTGTTTTAAGCTCTAATCATTGACAGTAGCTATCGTCTATAGTTCACTACTAACTTTTCGAGTCATGTTTAAAATGAGCGAAAACTGGCAAGTATTATTTCTCTGCATATTGCTTTGCTTTGGCACCGGAGCTAGGACGGTAAGTTGCTGTGCTTCTAAAATGGAAAATTTTAGGATATATTACAGCAGTCAAATCAAATTCTAGTTACATACAACTTATCGAATTCACTATACTTTATCGCAACAACTCGAAATTGTACTTCGCTACTTCTATCGTTTACAGTTAAGCTTATCTTGATAGCAACATCGATTCCAACTGACTATATAATTCAGACTTGACTATGTATTTATTACCTAGAGAATATTTTCTCAATTGCTTTTCAGACCGATTCGATTATATAATTATTGGTGCTACAGTTTTCCTTTCTTTTTTTGAAGCACTTTGATTGCTTCCAGAATTACACTAACTTGAGTAGAGTGAAAAAGCTAATTGCTAAAAGATTATTCCTTTAAAATTGCATTGATGCATTATTTTTCGATGCCAAAGCAAATAGTTAACTGTTAAAATGTTGATTTATATTTGCTCAACCTGATATTATCTATGTTTTGCATTTAAAGACGCTTAATAATTTTAATTAAATCGATCAGAACATATAAGTGATTTGATGTAGTCTATGTGTTTATTTCTCAGCAAGAAAATACGACTGTTTTATATGCTATGGAAAGGTCAAGATGTGTGGAATTCGAATTGAGACACTCTACATTGAACCTTGGATCGAAATCTATCAGTCTGTATGCTGCTTCGCAATCTCAATTATTGTTCGACGAAATTGTTGGATTAGCCGTTGATGCTATCACACTTAATGAAACCTCTAGTTGCGGCAACGACATACGCAAATTAATTGTCGATTTATTGTATCCCACTTGCTCCTCAAAGCCAGCTCAGCTAAAGTATCAACCAAGTCAATGTTTAGCTAACAATCCTAAATGTAGGCAAGTAATACAGCAATCTAACTTTGCTTTCCTTCTAGAAATTTGCCATAACAAGCAAAATACTACAGTTTATCAGAATTCTACTACGTGCAATATTCAATTAACAACATTATGCAAGCCATTATATCAACAAAATATGAGAATGCCAACTTATATGGCTGAATTAGCTTTACTTGGATTAAGAATTTATCAGCGTGGTTTGCAAAAATTTAATAGTTTAACTAATGAGCAGCCACAAGCAAAAGATTATCAATTTTACTGTTTACATCTTCCATTATGTAATCTCAATAACAACAGCGATAATTTATGGTTCCAACGTTATTCTATCCTTCCAAATCAACAAGATCGGATAGTGAACATGCTGCAACCAATTGCAGTACCCTCTAATACTGTGTTTACGAGACAAGGTACGTTATTGCTTTCCAATACTGGAAGACGCAATGATTACATTTTAAGGCCAATATTAATGTCTATCTTGATAACACTATCGCTTTATATTTAAAAAAGATAGCATCAAGATTTACAACATACCGGTACGTATGTTGTGCCTTTGCAAATTATAGAAAATTTGTTGCTGGAATTATATCGCACGCAATAGAAGATTTTCACTTTTACCTTTTAAGTATAATTAAAATTCGCATTGTCTAGCTCTTTCGAGCCTTTTATAATTGTAAATAACTTTACACAGTGGCAACAGTTTAGATTATGATTTGCTCATGATTGCGTTTATCGTAATGCTATGCATATATCAGATGGTTATACCAAGATAATTCAATGTCGGAAGTATATAAGAAATGAATGACTATGCTATATGAAGTTTATGTTTTATACAGAACATAAAGGAAAATTACTTTTCTCCCTGCTAATTTCCCAGTATGACTATAAGAGCAAAGTAAATTTCAATCTGATAATATAGATGCATCTTAGGTTAGAGGCGTTCAAATTCTCAATACTGAATTTCAGTTTTAATCCATTTTGATATTAGATTTTTTTAAAATCATAATAATAAAATTGAAACTTTTTGCTGACCTTAATTTATTAATCCTTGTACTACTTGGCCTATGTAGAGATTGATAAAAATTTCATATTTGCAATGAATAGTAAAAATATGCATGAAGTTATACAAGAACCAATAGACGTGTCTTTTCTCGTATCTTTCCTAGTTCATTTTCGATACACTTCATTCTATTATAGTTAGTTGAAATGGTCTTACACAATAAATTTCCTCATCGATTTACGATGAGATCATACTTGAATGGTTTTAAAAGTTTATACAGTATAATTCAATGCTAAGGAGTAAATAAAAACTGTTTTTATTACGATATCATACTGTACCATCGATATGCCAATAAAAGCACATAAACTACCTTAACCCGACACTTGCTGTCTAATCCGACTCTGCAACAGATTAAATCCTGCAAAGTAAGACCCTATTAATCAAGCTTTATATTTATACAGTACTGCGCCTTACACGACGCTATACTGAGTACATCTCATAATTGATTTCCAAATACAATATAGTACTGCAGATCATCTACTACTATATAGTACAATATACAGTTGCCTAAAGTAATCACTTTCAGCTCATTATTGCTAATAAAAGAGAGAGAAAAGTGCGCACTATACGCTTCTTATTGCACAAGCATATTACTACACTATGATTATATACTGTACAAAAATTATAAAATTATGTTACTTAGTCTACACCAAGGCAAGTTTGCAATTTCAATATGATTTCATTTATTGATGAAGTTATACATTACAGGTGAACCGCTATGTGTATGTATTAAATATAATATGCCAAGCGTAATGAGCGTAAGTCTTCAAGTATAGATAGCAAGATGGCTATATCTTCATAGTGTGAAAGTATTAGTATTTAAATATTGTCTTACATCATGAACTCTAATGATATAATAATACGAATGTAATAGTAAATGAGAAGTCATTCTTACGGAAAACTGAACTCATCTACATGAGATTGCTTAATTAAATAAGATAACGAAATACAACATATAGGCTCTATAGATCGTTCACCTATACAAAATACAAATTTAAAAATGCTATAGCTAAATGTTTAAAAGATATTGCTACATTTAAGCACATGGATAAGTGATTTTTACAACTAATCTTGCATCCTTTCGTAGTTTAGTCACCATTTCCATCGCAACTATAAATGATATAGATTGTAGTCGCTTTTATGGCCGTTCGGTTAGTGTTATCTTAACTGCCTTATCAGGTGTTAACGTTGCCCTTTTTATCATTCCTGTATCGTCCAAGTTATTGCAGCCAATGACAAATTTTTGAGACAACTGAAAAAAAGAACATAGAGCGTGTTATACCTCTATCAACTAGAATATAAATTTGATTTCATTCAGTTATTAACTATCATAGGCAATAGGCCTGTTCATATTAGATCTGATAACAACGTCAATCTATAATAAATAATAATTTTAGTTAACTATTTTTCGAGATGCGGCCCACTTTAGCTAATAAGAGGTGCATTTCTAACTCTGCGATTCGTCTCCCAATACGCATACGTGGACCAAACCCAAATGGTAAGAATTTGAATCCAGCTCTTGGGATATTGTCATCTTCATCTTTCAACCAACGCTCGGGTTTAAATTCTTCTGGTTCAGGAAAATACTCCTCATTGCGAAATAATTCATACAAATTAAGGATTATCGGAGTCTATACAAGGAAAGAAGGCAATTATGACTATTTGTGCTTATTTAACCAAGTCAATTCTACTTATTTCTAGAAAATTTTTAGCAGATATTTTCACAATTGCATTAGACTACTATGATGTAGAGATCAGAAAATTTTCTCACGTTGGCAGGAACTTGATAACCAAGGATAACTACGTCTTCCTTTGCTTGTCTGATCAGATTAAAGATAACTGGATAAAGCCTAAAAGTATTAATAATATCCCCATAGTCATAGCACTTTTTAATAAAACCAATTGGATTTGAACGCTGACAATGTGTATAGCATTATATAAGAAATCATTTATTGAACTATTAATAACTATAGTACGGTACCCTTTATCCTTTTTATGTACCTTACCGCATAGCTTCCTTGATGCAGGCGCTTAAATAAGGAGCGTTATGCACCGTCTCAGAATCTGGATCTTCGCCATCTTTTGAAATACTTTTAATTTCTTTGTGCAATTTTTCCTGCTTTCCAGGGTATTTAGATAGCAGAATTAAAGTCCAAGTTATCGTATTTGCTGTCTAGTTTTAAAACACGAGCAAGTAACTTACGATATGATTCTAATACTGTAGATTATTCCTATACAACGTCAAATTATTTAGTTTCAATGTCCTTATAGCATATAAAACATCTCAAGAAGCTATTAAGTCATTGACTGTCAGTTATGAGCAGTTTTGACCATAAAATAGGCCATGGTAACAATATTAATCTATGTCAATTTACTGTATCAGAGGCCCCAAGCATTAACTCGATAAGAGTAGTATTTAATCTTTCATCTGATAGATTACTTCTTTGGATTATATCTGTTAAGAAATCCACTTTATCATCTTCTTTCAATGCTGGTAAGGATTTTAATTCCTCTTGTCGTTCACGAATGATCTCCATGCCAATCTCAAACATAGTATCCCATTGACTGCAAAATCTTTTCCAATATTTTGTCTTCAAATATTTGTAATACGGGGGTAGCATAAATAGCGGTGAAGTCATTTCCATCATATTAACGACGGCATTGTAAAATAATTCCCCGCGTTACTTAGATGGATCATCGAAGCAACCAATTCGTTTATCAAAAATTATGCTCAGCACAGCTAGAAAGATAGAAAACATATATCAACGAAATTGTATTATGCTCAAATTGCATTTATTAATATTGATATCATTTTAGTAAGTATCAACGTTACTGAAAAGGGCAAGCAAATGTGTAAAGAGTAAAAATTCTCGGATTATATTAGTGCACATACGTATGTATGAAGATATTGTTTAAGGATTTAAAACAGATCACCTCGAATTTATATTGTATCTAGTTGTTTACTATGGCAGTTTTTGAAGCCAACTGTGATTCATATCTTTACTATACATTAAAATTTAGCCATCAGTACACGTTAAGGATTATAACTGTATGCATACTTTTCTAGCGATCATCTGAAAGTCTGGCTTTCAAACCCATTAATCTCATTTTCGACACCGTCTTTGCCACGTAGCTGTAATAAATAAGAGATAGAATCATCGATTACTTTATTCATGATCTTTGAGTAACCTTGAAGCATCTTTTATCTACGGCACTACGTGTCTCTTTCCAGTCTTCTTCATTACTATGGAAAACATTGATATTAAAATTATTTTAGATTCGGTTATCGTAAAGTATTTAGAGTAACAGTTTCCATTGCAGTCCTTTCATTCTGAATAAAAAGACTTAAGACCGAAGTAGATAATGACGATGCAAATAATTCTTGTTAGCAGATAGTCAGCTAGCGCTTGTTATTCATAAATTGATGCTTCTGTAGATGTACGTTATCAACAGTAAGTAAATATCCTTCAAAGTTTAGTTCATGGAATCTGGCAGTAAGTCATAGTTATGTTGCAATATCTCAATGAATTAGTGATCAATACTATATATGCTAAGTAAAACAAAAATGCATGGATTTTGCTCTGTAAAGCAATGTTGTAGCTGTTAACTTAATGCACTATCTGTCATTCACTGGCTGTACAATTCATACCTCAAGTTATAAACCTTACCCTAATATAATACCCAATGGCAAATTACATTCACTTCGATAATACAGCCAAGGGTAGACGTCCATCCTTCTCGGGTACTTGCCTTCAGCGCGAAACATCGATTCTGCTGCTTTTGGATCCGCTGTCATGACTAACGTCAAGCCACCGTTCGTTGTTTTGAAAATCGGTCCTAAGCTTTTAAAGATCGGAGAAGCACTAATATGATTTTGCTCAGTAAGCAATTTATGGTCACGCATTAAGAAGAGAATTTGACTAAACAGTGATTGATCCGGTTGAGGTAGTTGATCGAAAGGTTTAATATTTTCATCTACATTCTGTCGAGTCGATGTGGTCGATTGATTGCGAAAGTAACTTAACATGCCTAAACTAGTTGTTCGGTACTGTGGAATGCCATAGAAACGATAACGGTTAGGGAACAGCCCAATTCGATTAAATGGAGTCATATTTAAAAAAGAAATTGACTTTAGATTGCAAAGCGACGGTAATGGCAAGGTAGGGAGTAAAGCGATAGTTACTGGGATAATATAGAGCTTACTTCAATATCGAATTGTAGGGCAATTTTTTTGCATTTATTTATTCTACAACTGTTGGGCAATAATCACCATGTCCGATGTCAGGCCATCTCGATTGCTAGCCGGCATAAGGTAGATTAGCGGGACTACTAAAGATTGATTAGTTTCTGCCTCTCTGGTACTCGGTACTGTCAATATAGTAGTCTTAACTATCTAAGCAACTAACTTTAAGCACTCTTTAATCTACCAAACTTAGATTCGAGTCTTAGACGTTACAATATTCACGTTAAGAATCAAGACTTTATTCTAAAAGCTATTGATTTAAATGGTTGATTGAACTCACAAATTACAATCTCCTAACAACTCATAACCATATGTTATCGACTAACTAACTTATTAACTCCCTCAATTAAGAACTTTGAGGCTTTCACATAGCCTCATAAACTTCGTTGGTGCAAAACAATAATAAATTTATAGCCGAGTCCACTGTACATACTGAATATAGCAAGAATCACAACACACTTTCTATGACGTCGAATAGTAGTTAATTAATGGCTAGGTGTTAACATAGGATTCATTACTCAATAAAATTATATCATTGATGGCGCAATGATTAATTGATGATAACAGAAGATTTGCTTTATGATCGAATTTCCAAGAATAACCTGATACTGTCTGTCTGGATGGCCAAATTATTAATGTGGATTCCATAGATTTAATAGCTTAAAATAAGGAATAATTCAATCTAAATGTAGATCAATTCGACTAGTTATATCTTCATTGATGTAACATGTTAATATACTGTAGCTTAAAACGCGCGTATCAATGAGATTGAATTAATTATTGTTGCGAGTTCAATTGAACGAGCAGATCTATGGTATAAAGTTTAAAAATAGGATTGCTTCATATGAAGCTTTGTGGATATATAAAGATAATGCCTTGTTTATATAAGTCTATTTTCTACGACGTACAATATCTTCTTAGCCCCTTGCAAATTAATGATAATTATGTATATGTTACGTCAGTCCTAGAGAAACAACCAATCCTAGGAAATATATTTAAATCTTAAGTTTTACTATTATGATATCATCCTAGGTAGTGGACAATTTCGCTTGGAAAGATAAGACTTATTTTGTATCTTTAGCAGCTCCAAATAATATTCAAAATATTTACGATATTGACTAGTAGAAGCCTATATTTATCGTAATCTGCAATTTGTCTGGCAGGAAGTGTTGATCAAGATACAAAAATTTGACTCGATAAGATCAATTCACGAATGATTCATATATTATATTGATTTTACATACTAAGGCATAAAATTTCGATTTTAATGATATAAATGAAAGTTATATCATTCAATGAAGAATTTTCCACTGCATCTTAATGTATATGTACACGAGCATTTCTATATAATCAACAAATTAAGTGTTTAGCCTGTCTATAGCTACTTATTCCGACATCACTTAGTTCTGCGGGCCCTAGATATGCTCCAATTATAAAGTAAAAAGTAGCAGTGCGTATAATACCCAAGGCATAATGAGCATACTGTATGTTCGACTAGTTTACATAGTAACGAAGACTCTACAGAACAATCTTTTGCTCTGCTTTGCTGTAATGATCGGCAATAGTTAAGTATCAATAAATTGACAAAATAAATTGTACTGGCGAACCACACTGTGATCTATTATACTGTCATATACTGTAGCATTTACTGCTTATGATGCATACAAGAATGGATATATCCTATTCAGAAATCATGAACATTAATTTAGTGGTATACTTCATAAGCTATTGATATGGCCATATGACTACACTAACATTAATCAATCAACTCAATTTGGTTTCATTATTGAATCCTCCTATGCAACATCCGATGGCAATCTAAGCAATATAACTTCCTATTGAAGTATACGGCACACTATTTTAATTAAACTTGAATAAAATTGACAACTTTTTATCTGCGATTAAATTGAAAAGAGTAAGCAAGGAGGTAAAGTAAAAGTGTCGGAAAATTTGAATTGTCCTACACAGCTTTTCTAGCGTTCAGTATACGTGTGGTATGTGGTAGCAGTGGTAACCTATAAGAGTACATCTTTTCTTAAGCGAATTTTGCATGGCAAAGAGATTAAAATATAGTTTGCACGCATTATACTATTTATAGACAGTAGTCACAGTACTATGTTGATGAATCAGTTATTGTTGCTATCCACGTGCTGTATTTGAATTTTGCTTTTAGAATATGCAGTTTGTTTCGTTTCTTAAACGATTTTTTTACTGTTCTGGCTCTTCTTGGTGTTTTAGTGGATCAAGTCTATACTCGTTTTTCGTATCTTTCTTCTTGCCGGAAGTAATAAAAACATTTTCTATTTGTAGAGCTATTAGAGATCTCTATTTGCAGCTGGAAATGCAACAATAACACCATATTACAAAAGTAGTTTCGAAACATTACGAAACATTTGCGTCTGTGGTTATATAGGTCAAAAACAGCGATTCGGAAATACTTCACTGATTTTATTCTATTGTTAAATCGTCATATTTGGGCACTGTATTGCTTTTTAGAGGTGGATTTCATACGTTTATTCATATGTAATAATTCCCTATCACGATAGAATGGTATATAATAAAAAATAAATGTGATAGAATGACAAAATATAAAGCCTACGTAATAGAATGCCGTAAAATAAAAGCATACGTGCATACTTTCACTGAGTGTTGTGTAGATGTTGACCTTCATCCGGCGGATAATAATATATCTTAGAATAATCACGATATCCACATTAATTCTACGCAATTCCTGTTTCATGCTTACGGACAGGAATGATTTTTTGCGTTATGACTTTAAGGTTACGTTAATAAGTATTTCCTTAAACATTAACATTGTGCTTAATCGTGATGTTATAGTAAATCACTCAGAAATTTTGCCTTATTGACAGAGCATTCAGGATGAATTATTTTATAAGAGGTTAGTCTTGCTATGCAATATAATAAAAATG